TTGAAAAATTAATTTTCTTTGAAAATGTGACTTCTAGGTCGGGGAGATTCCCCATAGAGCCCATGTTGTAAAACCACAAAAAGTGAAATATATTTTCTTGTGTTGGGCAGATAATATTTTCTTTTACTGGACATATTTGAATTTGCATAACTATTAGATACATAAAGGTAATATGAAAAGTGAACCACTAAAATTGATGAATATTCAAGTTTAAGGGAATTTTGCAATACCCTGCCATGTTAATTCCCCCGAATCAGCCACCTGGTGGCGAAACTGGTAACTACCTACTCGCATCTGAGTAATTGCCGTAGGATATTTGCATTACTATTGTGCTCTGCAAATAAAATAGAATCAATTCGTTACAAAAATCGTTTGCATAATTTTTTCCTTGCAAGTTCATGGTCAGAAAATGTTCTGTTTTATTTGTATATTTGCTTTGCGTTAAACAGTTTGATTGAGCCATCTGAATAAAAAGTAAATTTCATTTGTCGTCAAATAGTTAAATATGTTTAACTCCTGTTGACCTTAAGTATATAAGAACGCTGTAAATCATATTGCAATAAGCAGCCAAATCAAATACATATATATGTACCAATATGTGCCTATTTGATTTATGCATTTATATTTAAATATAAGGTTATTGAACGCACGGTACAAGTTCATATGTCATTGTGCGATTACTAAACGCAAATGAAAGATGTACTATTGGATACGGGGGTATAGGGTAATTAAATCTATTGCTACCCAGGCCGTAGCCGGGGGGGGGGGGGTATTCAGCACAGAGGGTTCGAGTGAACTCCTCGAGTATAAAATAACATTTCAAAATCATGTAGTTTTTCACTATATTGAGCACTTTTCAAGTGATCTGGGGCCAAAATTGTCATATTTGAAACCCCTTTAATTTCTTAACCCCCTTTTGGCAAAAGTTGGCTACGGGCCTACATGTAACTATATAACTCAATTTTTATTTATGTAACATTTGACATATCATGTTGAGTGGAAAGTACGTTCTGTATTTCTATACTGGATTATATCACACATGGATTAGCATTTGCAAAGCATTTAATTCGGCTAAATCTTATTTGATCAAGGTGTTATTTCATTATTTGGTTTCTTTGTGAGGCAAAGACTGGGCGCTCACGGTGAACTTGTTTTTACATGTGACAATTTTATTTGATTCTGTATGGTCAATGACCGATTGAGTTCTCATGTTTGCAGATTTCACATTGGACTGAAATAAAAGTAAAATACAGTGAACAGAATGGGGAAAAGTTATGACTTACCGCCAGTGAGTGACAGCAAACATGAAGAATGGAAGAATGGGGATTTATCAAACGGAACATCGACACATAATGGTGTATCTATTCCAAATGACGATGAATTGCCGCCGTATGATAGAGCCACGAATACAAACGGAGTGACGATTCTACCAAAATATGCAGATCATGACCCAGATAATTATAATAAAGAGTAAGTTCGTTTTTTTGTTAAATTTTAAGTATTAATAATAATGATTTAACTAGTCTATTGAATGCATATAGTTTATAATCTTTATTCTACTCCTTATTTACAAAAGTACATGACCCAAAAGGGAATTTTCGTTTTCCAATTTCTTTTTTTTTTGGGGGGGGGGGGTATACATTTGAACTTTTTATGCTATATCAATTCGCATCTCTCTAAAATGCACTATATCTTAACAAGTTAACGCTCTGACTCCTATTAGAACCAACGAAACATATATTTTAATATTTTACTGAAAATTGTAAAACGGCGTAAGAAACAAATATTGGATTTGACAGTGTTCAACCTAGAGTCTTTGTTTGGAAAGTCAGGCACACACATCAAAACGAGATTTTACTTTAATAATCAAGTTTAAAGGCCCAATCACAAGGATAGGGTAAGGAAGGGCTACACAAATTCAGACTGAACTTAAGTTAAGCCAGCAATACATAGGGTAGCTGGTAGGAAATATCTCTTTAAACATGGGCATTTGCAATACTTCTACATTCGGCATCAAGGGAACTTCCAGATGACGATTTCTATACTGAAAGTCTGAGTTGCGGTAGAACCACCAATGATACTGTCAAACACATGATAGTAGAATGTCAATTTTTGATAGAATTGAGAAATGAAATGTATGAAAAGTTTATAAATAGTATCTCTGTTCATCAGACGTGTGAACTCCTTAACAGTGAAGATGACATAATCCTTGAAATTCTCCTTAGATGACGCTCTGATATTTTGCATAATACTGATAGTACAAATCATTTACCTATATATTTACAAGAAACGAAACACATTTGTACATACTATTATACATTTACTATAAATAGTTTTCTTATTTTGATTTAATTTTGATATAATGCAACTAAATGTAAATTAAATGTTGTAAATTTTCAATATGAAGGAAATAAAACAATACAATACAAGACATTTAGAATTTCCACTCGTTTCAAATTTCGTTTCAAATTTCCACTAACTTAGGCAAAGTAAAACATTAAACCTAGTGAACACCCCATCCACTTTAAAGTGAAAAGTTATGCAGTTTTAAATTCAGTGTCAGTACTTAAAATGGTGGACTTTATCCCCCTTATCTAAAACAATGTTGATTTTACGTGAACAGTGCAAATAAGAAGTATTTTTGAAATCGTTTCAAATTTCGGCCTCACATAGTGTATAGGCAACAATGCAGATATTCTTACAATTGCGACTGCGAACGTGACTATTATGGAGTTCGTAGTTTTCCTTTTTGTAATCGTCGGCCATGGTGCGTTAAGCTCCACTGTTTTCGAGAACTTGAGTGCGAACGTGTTATTTACAACCTCTGGACATTATTGAACTTCTCTTTTGTCGTGGTCATATTTCCTCCGATTTTCAGTACCGGGGCACGGCCGGTGGGTATTTTGTTCAAAATTGTGAATTAAAAGTAAATACAAGGTGTTATCAAATGAATATATGGGTTGTATGAGTGTGAATTGTAACATCGAACGCTAAGTAAAATGACTAAAAAGGAAAAACAATGTTTCGACTTTTTCCCGTTTCCAATCAGTGTTTTGTTATTTTTCCAGACAACCAAACGACGGCAAAGAGGAAAAACCGAAGGCAAAGAAACTTGTTGGCTTCTTTCAGTTGGTGAGTCGAACATCTTTAAATGCTTGTAAATGACTATACTTCTTGCAAACCCTATTTCTGAGGGATAATAAATTTTACATTTCAAAAACATCTGGATTTAAACATTTCATGAACTCGTTGGTCATCTCCCCCCATGGAATCAAAAGATGAAAAAAGATGGAGTACACTTAGTCTTTAGGCCATGTAACATTATTTAGGAGAATGGATAGACAGACCATGTAGGTCAATAGGAGTAGTGTTTATAACGCTTGAAAGAACGATTGTAGTGTGTTTCTATTCTATAGATATATTATATTAATTTTCAATAAATAAAAAAATCATATACTTTTTAATTGTTATTTTCTTAATGTTATTTTTCAGTTTAGATTTGCCGATGGTCTTGACAAAGTTTTGATGATAGTTGGTACATTGGCGTCCATCGCTGTTGGTGTCGCATTCCCTTTGAATCTTCTAGTTTACGGCCAAGTGGCCAACTTGTTCATCAACGACTCAATAAGTGCATCGTAAGTAAAGTGTTTTTACACCCCCTTATTAAGATTGGCCAGAAGGTCCATTTGGATGGCATATCAAAGACTGTTCGTGAACGGCAATTTAAAAAGTCATCAAATGTTCCTAATATTGAAATTAAAGAATAAAATTAAAATTGAAACATTGACAGTCTGAAATCATCCAGGATGAAATCATCCAGCAGCCAAACGTATAGAGGGAGAGTAAAAGCACTTGTCATTGGAATTAAAATAAATTTGTATTGCGCTGAAAAAATTGTGCAAAGCAACCATGATATAGATACCGGATACAATAATCCAGTGTCTCACATTTATATTTCATTGAAACTTTCTCTATGTTTTCAGAGGAATGAATGCCTCAATGGCCGCAAACATGACACGTCCCGACATATTCAATCAGGTGTCCAGTCTCTCCCTGTATTTCGTGTACATCGCCTTCGGTGTGTTAATCTGCGCATATATGGAGATTGCTTTTTGGACGTGGACCGCCGAACGACAAACGAGACGTATAAGAGCGAGGGTTTTTCACTCTATACTCCGTCAGGATATCAGTTGGTTCGATACCCATGATGTAGGAGAGCTAAACACCAGACTGGCAGAGTAGGTTCATATGAATAAATAGTTAACATTGCCGTTCTTATTTTAATGCACTATCAAAAAGGCGTGCTTCAAAAGTTATGGAATAAGTAAAACTACAAAGATAATGCTGAATATTTAGTTAAAACTTAAATAACAATTCATATTCAAATTTTTATTTGGCTTATTTTGTGAGGGACAAAATTTCGTTGGACATTTACAAAATGCCGACTGATGTGTCCAGGAATTAGATAATCTAAAAGTTGCCCCTTTGCAAATAATATTTTCAATTTATTGTCCGGAAATTCACCAAATTGTCTCAAACTATCTTTCCGATTCGCACAAATTAAAATATATGTAACATATATATTTTGCCAATTTAACCAAATTAAACCTTGCATGATATACATGTAAATACTGTATACCAATGTATTTGAACGCAAGGGGTTATTTGTTCATATGTTTCTTTCTTTTCCAGTGATATAACAAAGATACACGACGGGATCGGAGACAAGTTTGCAACGTTTGTACAGTGGATGTCAACGTTCTTTGCTGGTTATATTCTCGGATTCATTCTAGGCTGGAAGCTAACATTGGTCATATTAGCCCTATCGCCACTGATCGTCCTGGGAGGTGGTGCGGTGGGACGGGTAAATAAAGCTGTTGATATTGCCCCTTGTTTGTTTTAGTCGGTTTGACTAATTATCTTACCCTCAGAATGCGTAAGCTATAGTATGCCCTATATTTTACTGTATCCGAGAAAGTTACATATATTATTCGGTTGTTTTTTGGGCCTCCATCGTGTGTCCTCTATGGAGCTACACGGGAGAGAAAACACGTCACCTTACTTATATCTAATTTATAACCCTGTAAGTACAGTAGTTGTCATGTCCTGAATTTTGAACCTTGAAAAGGTTATTAGAAAGTTATTAAAATTTTTAAATGGTTAACTTCTTATTTCACTCACTTCTGACATTTTTATAGATAATGGGGGTTTTTACCCATAAGGAACAACAGGCGTATGCTAAAGCTGGGTCGGTGGCAGAGGAGGTGCTGGGGAATATACGTACGGTGGCAGCGTTTAGCGGCGAAAAGAAAGAATGTGAAAGGTATGGACTCAATGTTATGGTGTATGCATTATGGGAATCGTTTGCAAATGGGGAAATAAACCAGTGCCTTTTGTGTTTTGTGGTGTCACATTGTAAGCTTTGCTTTGTGAATGTTTTAAAAAAATACTTAGGAATAAACGTAATTTTCTCCTGTTTTCTAGATATAATTCCAATCTGGTGGCAGCTCGAGCAGTCGGAGTAAAGAAAGGTCTTGTCAGTGGTGCTGGAATCGGTTTTGTGTGGATTGTCATATTCGGTACATTTGCACTTTCATTCTGGTATGGTGCCAAACTTGTGCGCGATGGTGAGGAAGGATACACTGGAGGGACTATATTACAGGTGCGGAAGGATATGGCTGCGTTTAAATACTTTAAAAACGTCATGTCAAGATGCTTTATTTAGATCTTTAAATGATTACCTTCTATTAGAATATAAAAGTGCCAAAGGAGAGCGCAATATAGGAGGGCACAATAATATGCAGAATAAATAAGGTTGTTTATAATTGATTAAAAATGATGTTCAGTTTTACGTAGATCATGATTTGGACACGTGTTTTCTTTTTGTAGGTGTTCATGGGGGTTTTGATTGGTTCCATGTCTCTGGGACATGCTGCTCCAAACTTTGAGAACTTTGCTTCCGCACGTGGAGCTGCAACCGCCATCTTTGAAATCATAGATCACGTGAGCAGCTTGGACTTATTTGATACATAAACAAACATGTTTTTGTTATGAAGTAAAGCTGTATATCTCAGCTGTTTAGATTTTGTAACAAATTTCCTCTTGAACTGCAGACAATATTATGAAGTAGCTCATTCATGTATTCATGAAGAAAATCTATGTTCTTTCCCCTCCCTCCGTCATGGCTAATGCCTTGGTCACATTTGCTCCTATTCATCGGCCGGCGCCCGGCCGATTGAGTTTTCTGTTTAAAACTGAATTCATTTGTGAACAGGATACTCAATCGGCCGGGCGCCGGCCAATGAATCGGAGCAAATGTGACCCAGGCATTAGTGCAAATAATATTTCAGTAGTAAAGTCAAAAAGGGCAACGACTTAGGAATATTACAAAATAATATATTGAGAAAAATCAAGATGAACAGAAAACAACCCAAAATATCGAAAACTATGATTTAGAAATAATACCTCTCTTAAGCCAACCCACCAAAAATAAATGTTTTATGCGATTGGCATTTCAGGAACCTGAGATTGACAGTTCAAGTGAGGAAGGCGAAAAACCAGAGAAAATAGAAGGAAATGTGGAATTTAAGGATGTTAAATTCAACTACCCCACCAGGCCTGATGTCAATGTAAGTCAAAATGTCTTGATCACTTCAATCCGATATCAATGTCACTGTCCCCTCTATACACCATTGTGTAATGCAGATCAAATAAAGCCCCGGATGTCGTGTCGTTTCGTTTGGTACACAACTTAAGCCCCGGGTATTAAATAAGCCCTTTCTTCAATCCAATATTAATGTCACTGGAATAAAATCATCAGGTATGAAACATGTGTAAACTTGAAAAGCAAACACGATTGAAAATATTTTACTTCTGTAGATTTTGTTACAATACCACTCGTTATCATGGGGATCTAAGGTTTTCATTGGAAAACATATGTGTTGTTGTCAACGTTGAATATCATACATGGTGCTTAGTTATGAGTTCGGAGATATATGAAAAGCGTGATGAATTTTTCAAATCGATGAGTGTATCCTATTGCCTTCTCTATTTTTTAGGTATTGACTGGGCTTGATTTGCACATTAATGTGGGAAGTACAGTCGCGTTAGTGGGTGCGAGTGGTTGTGGGAAGAGCACAACAGTTCAGCTATTACAGAGGTTCTATGACCCTTTTGCTGGAAAGGTACTTACAAATTATTCATAAACTTGGACAATGTAGATATTAGATCATTCCCTGTAATTGTGTCATGTAAATATCATTACGTTATTGTAGCATACAATCTAATAATGGTAGTGTTATTGTGTTACTATATCATTATTAATTTGAAAATTTCAATTGTGTGCTAAAAAAAATTGATTTTGTGAGAACATGCTTTATTAAAAACGTTGTATTTCTGTTAATTTTGACCACTTCTTTATTTTCAAGATCTGTATAGATGGCGTAGACATCAAAGATCTGAACCCTCGCTGGTTACGTCAACAGATCGGGGTTGTGAGTCAGGAACCTATATTATTTGCCACAACAATCGCAGAGAATGTGCGCTATGGCAGAGAAGGTGTCACACAGGCTGAAATAGAGCAAGCTGCCCAAGAGGCTAATGCGCATGACTTCATTATGAAACTTCCAGACGTAAGCAACCGTTTGTCTAATTGTCTAGCTTGATATGCATATTTTCACAAAATTAGTCTGCAAAAATTTAATGACAAATTATGTCTGTCACTAAAAACCATAAGGGCCATAACCACCTCAAAACAATCAGAAAATTATTTAATAGTACGTTCAAAAGTATTAAGAAAAAAGCAAAAAATTATGCCACCAATCTATTATTTGGTAATAAAAGTTGAAAGACGAAATCTTTCACTCCTGATCTTTACTTTGTCAATACTGATATTCATTAATTGTAGAAATACGAGACTCTAGTTGGTGAGCGAGGTGCCCAGCTGAGTGGGGGTCAAAAACAGCGCGTGGCTATAGCCAGAGCCCTCGTACGTGACCCACGTATACTTCTGCTGGATGAAGCAACGTCTGCACTTGATAATGAGAGCGAAGGAATCGTACAAACAGCTTTAGATAAGGTACATGCATTTCATAGCGCCTTATGTCAAGGTATCCTAGATAGATACCTATACAACCTATACTAGGATAATTCTATTTTTATTAAACATAAAGGCTGTCCATAATATAACATTTTTTCGCTTCCCACTCTGTAAAAACAAAACGATTGTTTCATTGCTACATTACAGGCCCGTCTAGGAAGGACCACCCTTGTGATCGCCCACAGATTGTCAACCATACAAAATGCTGATGAGATTGTTGGGCTTGCGGATGGCAAAGTAGTTGAGAGGGGAAGTCACGCAGAACTGATGGAGAAGCAAGGGTTATATTACCAGCTTGTTATGCACCAAACACATATTGATGAGGACGAGGAAGAGGAAGAAATTAGTAAGTATAACATTCGTGAAACCAAAAGCAATGTTATGTAACACATGCGACATGGTATATTGAACGCTTTTATATGACGCGGTCCATCTACGTGGTTATCAAATCAGAAAACAGCAGTTCTTCTTCGCCCTACTTGCTAGATCCAAGAGTGTCAGGGACAGTTTTTAGAAAATTGAGTTAAAACATGCTACTTGTAACAGCCAATATATGTAGGTACATTGTCTCTCAACATTTTGTCAAATTTTGTGACGACGTTCTGTTTTGGCCTCTGAGCCCGAATTTCACATGACCTACATAATATATTTCATAATTTCGTCTTGGGGTTCGCTCAATAATTCACATTTTATATTTAGTTCAAAATTTTCAGTGAGCCTGACATGACCTAAATATATTGGTAATTTAAATTCCTGGATATAACTCAGTAATTCACATTACTATCTTATAGTGAGCCTGACTGCGGATCTAGATGAGGAAAACGTAGCAGACCAGGACATTCTCCGAGCCCCATCAAAGTTGAGTCGCGAATTCAGCAGCAGAGGGAGTATACGGAAAAGCCAAGACCTTATAAGGAAAGGAAGCGGAAGGAAGCAACACGTGACTTTGTCCCGACCAATGTCCGCCGAGGAGGAGAAAATCACCATAGAGAGACAGGAGGTATGTACATGTTTACATATGTATTCACAAGTGTCAAAAAGAAGACTTAAAACTGTTAGTAAACAGAGCAAGAAAATCAAACATCTAAGAATTTAAAGTCAATGTGATTATTTGTAATTATATGTTTAGTATTGTTTTGGTAATGTGTTTATGAGTACCATGCATTGAGATAATATTGGCCGCTTTGTTATTGTAGAGACAAATATTGTTGGTTTAGTGACCAGTATGTTGCCATGGTGACCAGTATTTATGATATATTTGCAGATCATAATTGTTGCAAAAATTAAACAGATCGAGAGATAATTAAGTATTCTGTCCCAACGATAGCTCTAACAATGTGCACTTATCGATAGGGGTAACTATATAACAATTATTGTATTTTCATAAATTTGACCAAATAAACTATTCATTTTTAGAAAGAACTGGAAGAAACACTACCCGAACCATCATTGAAGAGAATAATGAGGATGAACGCCCCCGAATGGCCATATATCATACTAGGTTGCCTTGCAGCCATTGTGACCGGGGCCATCCACCCAGCTTTTGCCATCATGTTCAGTGAAATAATTGGGGTAGGTCGTTGTATTATCATACTAGGTTGCCTTGCAGCCATTGTGACCGGGGCCATCCACCCAGCTTTTGCCATCATGTTCAGTGAAATAATTGGGGTAGGTCGTTGTATTATCATACTAGGTTGCCTTGCAGCCATTGTGACCGGGGCCATCCACCCAGCTTTTGCCATCATGTTCAGTGAAATAATTGGGGTAGGTCGTTGTATTATCATACTAGGTTGCCTTGCAGCCATTGTGACCGGGGCCATCCACCCAGCTTTTGCCATCATGTTCAGTGAAATAATTGGGGTAGGTCGTTGTATTATCATACTAGGTTGCCTTGCAGCCATTGTGACCGGGGCCATCCACCCAGCTTTTGCCATCATGTTCAGCGAAATAATTGGGGTAGGTCGTTGTATTATCATACTAGGTTGCCTTGCAGCCATTGTGACCGGGGCCATCCACCCAGCTTTTGCCATCATGTTCAGCGAAATAATTGGGGTAGGTCGTTGTATTATCATACTAGGTTGCCTTGCAGCCATTGTGACCGGGGCCATCCACCCAGCTTTTGCCATCATGTTCAGCGAAATAATTGGGGTAGGTCGTTGTATTATCATACTAGGTTGCCTTGCAGCCATTGTGACCGGGGCCATCCACCCAGCTTTTGCCATCATGTTCAGTGAAATAATTGGGGTAGGTCGTTGTATTATCATACTAGGTTGCCTTGCAGCCATTGTGACCGGGGCCATCCACCCAGCTTTTGCCATCATGTTCAGTGAAATAATCGGGGTAGGCCACTCAAACTTATTTAGGAATGAGAATGAACAGAAGACTATTCATATTGAATCTTTGAATTTATCACAAGGAGTTGAACATACTCATTCCTCAACACGATGAATCCCCAGTGAATTGAACCCATTCTAGTATGTACATGCTCCATTGCCAAAGGGAAAATCCTAAAAAGGCTTGAAAACGCTATAAACAGAACAGGAAAAAGAAAACTAAAAATACCACTTGTATTTTTTTCAGATATTTGCTGAGACGGATTTTGAGAAGCAAGCAAGGCTGTCTGCGATGTACGCCGCCATTGTTGCAGGGCTCGGCTTTGGTGCTGCATTGTGCAACTTTATTCAGGTATTTTGTAAAGTTTGTCTTGCTAGAACCGAGAACTAATCACAAAAAGTGATACACCGATATCTAGCTAACACAATAAGACTTTGCCTTTATAATTTACCTTATTTCTTTGCAGCACTACTTTTTCGCGGTTGCTGGCGAGAAATTGACAATGAGACTGCGTGAACTTGCGTTTAAAGCCATGCTTCGCCAGGAGATTGGATGGTTTGATGATCACAAGAACCAAGTAGGAGCTCTTACTACACGACTAGCATCTGATGCTTCCATGGTTAAAGGGGTAAGTCATTTTAGGTCACATTGTTTTAATTTATTTTAAATTAAAGAGATTATTCAGTACATGGCTTACTCTGAAGCACTATTGGCCTCTTGAGTAAGTCATTGATATAGGTACTTCACCAATGTTGTAAGTTCTTCATTTTTATGTCATTGTGTTACAAGTATGTACATATTGTTGTCATCATATGGTTGCCATATCAAAAGTTTGTACATATTGTTGTCATCATATGGTTGCCATATTATAAGTATGTACATATTGTTGTCATCATATGGTTGCCATTTATAGTTCGGTGTTTTGCGTCAGAAGTAGGCGCCTCTAGTAAATTCTACACATTTCTAATTTTTCAGAAAGCATCGTTGAATTTTGTTTTATTGTTTCCAGGCAACTGGTTCAAGGCTTGCAGTTGTTGTCCAATCAATAGCTAACATTGGTGTTGCTATAGTGATATCCCTGGTTTCCGGTTGGAAGCTCGCCCTGGTTGTCATGTGCTTTCTCCCCATATTAATCCTCTCAGGGGCGGTTCAGACTCGACTCTACCAGGGCCTTGCTAATAGTGATAAAGAGGCGCTCGAAGAAGGAGGCAAGGTCAGTACTGGTGTGAAAGAAATGATGCCCCCCTCCCCAGGGATTATGGTTCCCTTTCTTAACGGCCCTTACTAGCCCTGAGTGTGTATAAGATAATGAGGGAACCGAGTATAGGGTTATTTCAGATCAGATCAAATAGAACTCTCTTTTTTTATTATAGCCGAATTAATGGAATTAACATGATTTTGTAAAAAAATTTCAATTATATTCTGTATGTGTTCGACCATGAAAACCAACATCTACCCACATAACGAAATTTTGAAATGACATAATAATGAGTTCTTTGGAAAAGGAAACGAAATATGCACTTCAAATTCCACCATTGAGTGCTTATCTCTCGCATATCTTAATTTATTCATACAAATTATTCCCGTTCTTGTTCATTTAGGTTGCAACTGAAGCTATTGAAAACATAAGAACGGTGGCATCGCTCACCAAAGAGGAACAATTTGAAGCAAGATTTAATGCGGACTTTACAAAAATATACAAGTAAGTTTTGAGGAAACGATACAGCACAGAGCATTGTGATTTTTCAACACTTCCATAATTCCAAACTACCAGGCATTGATCTTGATCCAAACGGTAAAATAGAATGTCTATAAAAGTCAAAGTCTGTGTATGTGAATTGATTTTGTGTATACTCGTATATGATCAGATTTCACACGGCTCATTTCCCACAATGCACATGTATGTAATTTATCTTTACAGGGATGGTAGAAGAGGTTCCCATATTTATGGCATAACTTATGGGATATGCCAGGCTGTTGTATTCTTTGCATATGCAGCAGCTTTCAGTTATGGGGCATATCTTGTTCAGCAAGGAGAAATGCAATTTGCCATGGTATTCAGGTAATTGCTTGCCATTCATTATGAAGTCGTTATTAACAATAAATACGTTAGCTGATTAGTTCAGAGTATTCATTGTTGCATTCTGATGCATCACTTATCCTTCTTTCAAAAACACGAAGAATAAATAATAAGTTAAATGAACCCACATTTAAAAATCTTGCTTTTAAAGAGTATTGGTTTAACACGGGATGATTTATTCCTATATAGCGAAATGCAGTCCACCTTTAATCTGCCACTGTATTATTACTGAACGTTTCTTAGTGGCAGTATCATAACGTACGGACGTGCAAATTCTGCAATGTTAATATAGGTCATTGTCGATGGATTTTGTATTGCCTCAGTAAACAGGGACGTTTGAAGACTCCCCGGGAACACTGATGAATTATGAAGTTTATTTCAGAATATGGGGCATGATTACTATCTGTGGTAAGGCAGGTGGAAAAGCATTAACGTTTTCTCCCGATTATGCCAAAGCCAAAAAAGCGGCCCAAAAAATAATATTCTTGATTGACAATGCTAAGTGCATAGAGGAAAATATGAATTCTGGCAAATCTTTGGTGAGTCACAACGATGTGTGGCGTTTCATGGATCTTAAGTGTGTCCGCTTTATACTGATATCTATTCGTCTCAATGCCAGATTTCCTGAAAATGATTTAATATCTCATTTGAGGAAATTGGCATCAAATGTAGTTAAAGGCAATTGACTTGAATAAAGCCTTGTAGAATAGTTTTAAGACAGAGGATAGAGTTATGATTACATCGTTGTATCCATTTTACTGATGTCAAGAATTCAGATTTTATATGCATTTTATAATAATGGCCTTGATTCGGAAATACTTGAATTTCCCTGTGAATTTTACATTTTAATAAGTCCATAATCAAAAATGTCCTGACAATAAAAATAGAAGCACGAATGGTTGCTTTATGGAAAAAAATCCTTCCAACACATCGATCCTTCCATCCTTTTTATTCTGCCACTAAAAGACAATCACATATTTAGATCATATGAAAAATGTGATGTTAACTGAATATTAATGCTTCAAATATGCTGTTTTTGTTTTTCGCCAAAACAATATGGTCCTTGCATTGTTTTCCGTGTTCGAGGCAATGTGCTAATTTCTCTTTCCGTTGAATATTCTCGACGCCAAATTCATAAAAATTAGGATATTGCCTTTGAAAGGAGCATTAACATGTGTTCAGTTAGTTTCTGATGTAGAGATATTTAGTTGTTTAACAGTATGTTGTCATGGTAACAAGTTGCCTAGAAGCGTCAGACACCTGACGTAGCAATTCCTAGTCTAAACGTAACCCTACCGATCTTTTGAATCACTTTGTAGTAGCTTTCTCCAAGTATTTGTAGGGCTTAACATGTGTTTCGTTGTAGAGTTATGATGTGCATTGTGTTCGGGGGGCAGTCTGCAGGGAGGATGAGTTCGTTTAGTCCCGATTATAAAAAAGCCAAATTGTCAGCTGCCAAATTGTTTGCACTGTATGATAGAGAACCTGCTATAGGTGCCTCTGAGGTTGCTGGTAGATCTTTGGTATGTATGAACGAAGTAAAATGATTATCATCTATCAATGATTTTGTGTTTGAATGATTGGTAAAACAAATTAATTTGATAATCTTTTTACGATAAGCGGATGGTGTTTTCAAACAAAATTGCTTTTACAGAAGTTGATATCTAATCTTAATCCAAGATAAATGTCATTGTTGTCACGTTGTCAATCATACTTGAATGAAAATATGTTAGAAAAGCTTATGCATGCTCTTCATTGCGAGCATGTACCCACGTGACTTCCTCTTGACTTTCACTTATTTTCAATTTGATTTGTTGTCTCAATTTTTAATACTATCTAAATATGATTTGATTCATAGTAATATTTTCATGTTTGAATAGATGTTTTTGGGCGTTTCTCAAAATATTATTAATTATGAATTCCTGAATTCAATTGCCTTCTATAATATTTTAAAATTGTAAAGGAGGAGAGAAGTTAAGGAAACTTATTTATGATATTTTCGAGAAACATGCCATTGTCTAACAGTTTGGATTGATGTGGTTTTCTGTAATGTCATTAACACATAATGTAAGGTGACAGAATGTGTTATTATTACGTGAATGAATCAATATATCAGTTTTTTAATGTAAAAAGAGAAATAAAGGTTTCGGTACTTCGACGGCATTGGGATTTCATTTTAGCTGATACCGAATTCAAATAAGAACTTTGAAATAAACTGTCATATTTGATCATAGCTTATCTCATCGAACCTATTTGAGATATAGAGGGAGAGCCTCAGTCCGTACGTCGGTTCGCCTAAAAACGGACGTTGATTCAAATGTCATACTCATGTTCGTTCTATGGCAGTAAGAGTCGTTCTGCATTTTTCAAATGACCTCTTATTTCAAATCGGTCGCTGTTTTAGTGTCGATGACTGTTGAAAATGTTTTTGAGATTTAAACAATCTTTCTTGCAAAAAGTATCTGATTTTGATTAAGTTCATAATCTTAACTTTTTTAAAAATATGGTGGCCATTTTGATTGCCATTATATAAGACAGTGTAAAAAGAGGTTCTATGGAATGTGCAATGCCATGCTCTCATCGAGTCAAACGATATTAAGTTAAGCCATAAAGATGCTATTCCTTACTCATTATTATCTGTTTTAGGAAAAGTACGAGGGTGACCTGACGTTCGAGGACGTAAGATTCAGGTACCCGACTCGTCCCGATGTGCAGGTACTTGATGGGTTGTTCCTACGTGTCAAACCAGGCCAGAGTCTTGCTTTAGTGGGTTCGTCAGGGTGCGGCAAGAGCACCGCAATTCAACTCATAGAAAGATTCTACGATTCTGACAGTGGCACAGTGGTAGGTTTTGATATTTCAGAATGACACATTCATTCACAGCAGGCTTCATTCTCATTGGAATATACAGGATCTGATCGATTTTGAATGCACTATTTCAGTTTATTTGACATTTGTCTTTTTTAATGATAATTCTATGAATCTGACAGTTTCTCGCTGACAGGTTTCATTTTTTCTAAATGTATAAACTTTTTGATTTATTTATTTCAATCCACTTTCTGAACCTGTTTTACTTTCCCATATATTTACTCTTTAGCAATCGTAAGCGCACCAGTTCTTAGTTTTAACTGTATATATCCCTAAGCATTGTATTTCTAACAAAAATACTAATTAATGACATTTCTTCTTGTTTTTAAATGTGCATAGTTTGTCCAGAAAATTAGAGACTGCACGTGACATTATAGTAGTTCACTAGTAATTAATGGATTCGAGTTGTACAAAACTTTGTTTGTATTCAAATTAACAATATTTATTCAACTTAATTCAGTTTACAGTTAATATGAATAAATATCGCTATTAAATTAGCTACTTTCTTAGAACGTCTGGGATGGCAGATTTAACATACTTCATACAGTATGATCGGCATCCAGCTGAAAAATAAAGAAGGTCAAAAGTTAATTAAAATTAAAATCTATTTTTTACATTTTATTTATTTCCTTCATAATCAAAAATACACAAAATATATACTACCAATCGTCATAGACATTCAAGATAGTTTAAATTACATTAGATGATTAATTACAGTAATCATAGATAGTTATTGATTAAAATCTATCGTTTGATTTTTTTCAAAGAAATGTTTAATTGCTACTCAATAATTTGGGGAGCAATGACGAATCAACTGACGGATTTACACACTATTCTATTCTACACTCATTTAGATATGAATGAGAAAGTGGCAGGTACAATTCACATTGAAATAAAAAAATAGGTTATACCGTCAACTGGCAGTTGAATTCATGAATACTACCTGAGTGAAGAAAGATTAATTTCGTTGTACTGATTCATTGAGGAATGAGGGTTTATCATTAAGTTACACAACTCACATTAATGTTCATATCTGTAACCTCGAGGCTGATGTCCATAGCTATCTTGGCCATAGCTCCCTTGTCGGTAGCTGTCTTTCCCATAACTTCCCTGGCCGTAGCTATCTTGTTCGTAGTTTCCTCGTCCGTAGTCACTCTGTCCGTAGCTTCCTTGCCCATAGCTCTCTCGTTTGTAGCTTCCCTGTCGCTGTCCATAGCTATTTTGTCCGTAGCTATCTTGCCCATAGCTATTTCCTCCGTAGCCTTCTTGTCCATAGCTCTCTCGTCTGTAGCTTCCCTGTCGACTGTTGTAACTTCTTGCATACCCACGATTCCTATCACCTCCATATCGATATCCAATGGAACTGGCATATGTAATAGCCACCAGGGCAATGAGGCACACCAACTTAAGCATGATGGAAATTATTCTAAAACAAAACAAATATATAAGCACGAGTGCCAAAGGGAAAGGACCTATGTCCCAAAGCTGATGTTTCTATACTACTGTATATACAAAGATTTTCAGAAGTCCCATAATTTATTTACAAATTAGATAGGCTAGAATTATGAATGTCTCCTGTAAACCTACTACATTATTTTCAACATTGTGCAAATGTATACATTTTATACAGTACTCAGTACAGCCATTTTTTATTCTACAACATAATATGATTACCATGGCCTCGATGCAGTGCTTTCCTTTATTACTGCATATAGGCAATTAATTATTTGATTTTGAGTATGATATGAGATTTGTGAAAGACGCAAAATAATACGTCGTATTTGTATGTTATCGAATTAAGCATTTTGAAACGTCTAATAGATTGCCAAATGTGAATTTTTCCAAATGGCAGTCTCCCCTTCCAAAGCCGATGGTTCTATACTACTGTATATACAAAGATTTTCAGAAGTCCCATAATTTATTTATACTTGTTGAATCAGTTGAAAATCAATGTTTTGCTTGAAAAAAATTATCAATGCTGATTTTATGTTTGAAATGTATATTTTGTGTTATACTTTACTTACCTGTATCGAAGTCAACCCGATGGAGTGAATGAATTCTAAGTCAACATTTCAAACTTATATATTCACCGAGATTTCACCCTAGGCTTCCTTCCTGCCCCTCTCTAACCAGTCAGTGACCTTGTGTAATTAAAACATTCTCCTGCATTTATTAACTGTAATTAAAATTCTCTCTGTTTTTGTTATTGCTTTGTAAATTTTCTCATGAACTGGTGTAATTGCTGATTGAAATATTAAGTTGGTGTCAACATTTTTATGAATCGTTTAAGAATGGTCAACATGATAATTATTAGAATCACGCTGCTGGGTTGTTGTCAATCGTAAAATATATTGTAAGTTTATTTTAGTTGACACTATTCGTTTGATTTTATTTAAAAATCATTGTAAAATATACTTCGCTGTTCATGATTTATATTTCTCATACTTACGTATATATGCTAGGAGAAATGGCAAAGTATCACATTTATTAAAATCACAACTTAAATGGCAGCATTGTGAAACATGTTAAAATGGCAACACCTTAACGGAAATGGCAACACCTAAATGGAAACAATACCAAACTTTATTACAAATATAATGAAAACCATTCTGCTGAAAAAGCACCCGTTCACCGTATATCCATCAAACATAGTAAATGCATATAAATGATTTATTACGTTTGCAGAGTTTTGGTGGATCTGACGTGAAGGAACTGAATCTGCAATGGCTTAGACAACAGATCGGTCTAGTGTCACAAGAACCTGTACTATTTGATACATCAATAGCGGAGAACATAGCATATGGGGATAACTCTCGACCAGTCACAATGGATGAAATAATAGAGGCGGCAAAGAAATCAAATATTCATAAATTCATTAGTGAACTTCCTCTGGTAAGAAAAACGAAAAACGTAAATTTGTATGACGAAGAAATGTTTTTCATGCATTTTGCGTATGATTATATTCTGGAATTCAAAAATGTACTAACTTATTCTGAGGGAGTCATTCATTCTATATATATCCTTCCAACCTTTTTAGTATTTGTATTAAGTGCACATATAATAAGTTCACTAAGTGGATTTGAATTTGGAGTTAAACTTTCTATTCTAACAAAATATTCAAATGAATAAATGTAATGATAACTATCTAAATGTAATGCCTATTAAAACTATCCTGAAATATGCATATTACTTTAGGGATATGAGACCAACGTTGGTGATAAGGGAGCCCAATTGTCAGGAGGTCAAAAACAGAGAGTGGCCATCGCCAGGGCTCTTATACGCAACCCTAAAGTCCTCCTCCTGGATGAGGCAACATCAGCCTTGGATACAGAGAGTGAAAAAGTATGTTTTTGGAATTTTTGGTTTTTGGAGAGAAAGGTCGTTCTACGAGGGGTGATTCAAAAGTAATGGACAAAAATTTATAGGTCTACTTAACATTGTCCAATCAGTCTAATTTTCTGACATACATTAGATCATTCAATTATCTACAAAGTGTCAAATTCGTACCTAACTGCATTCAATATTGTATCAGCTATGGGTAACCATGGTAACTAGGGTACGCATGGGCGGAATCCATTTTTGAATGATAATTGATTATTTTGGTCATTTCTGTTTCATTTCATTTAAAGACTCCAACACATATGCTGGGTCTATAAATTGGTAAATGAATTGCCAAGGAAGACTCACATGTCCATTCATATGCTGGTGAGTTCTTAGTTCAGCAGCAAATCGTACTGTACCATATCTCAATGAATTTTTTAGAATAGTGAATCACAGAGAGTCAGAAAGTGAGTCAAACTCTAAAATTCACACGTATCCATGAAATGCCCAGAATTAGAAGAAATGTGACATTAATTACAACAATTAAAGTCAAACAAAGGATTTTCAAAGTATAATTGGTAGTAAAAGGAGACAAGACAGGTTATTGTCCGGAAAATCAAAAACACACAAGGCATTTTCAAAGGCAAGCCTTATTGTACAAGCACTTCGATGGAGGTGATGAGAGGGTATTGAATCTTTAGCGATCTGAAAGACCACAAACTTGCCCTCCTGATCACAAGGATAACAACAATATTCACTTTGTAGAAGCAATCTTAAATGCAGTTGGGAGATTGAAATAAGTGCCATAACAGATGATCTAAATATTAAATAGAATGTAAATGAATGATCAGGCATGACGAGATTTATGGTTGAACGTATCGTGCTACTGTCGTCAATTTTTGAAAACGCTAACTTTTCATGAAAATGCATGTTATTATGATGGGGATATACTTAAAAAGCCAATTCCGGGTATAAGCACCCTTATGCGGGAGATGTGCTATATCTTGAAATGTATTTCGATTGATGTGATACAGTTTTCACAACTAATAGATAATTGGTTGATCTTCATATGTACCAAATTTCATACAAATTGGGTGAGAGTAAGCATGCCTATAAAATTTTGTCCATTACTTTTGAATCACCCCTCGTATAATGAACTCCGTATCGCTCATAAAAAATATTTTTTAATATACTAGTATTGTTCTGTTCTGTAGAAGCACTTGCCACTCTGAGACTTGTTCAGTTGACATTTGGCATTTTATCGGTTGTCATAGTAACTTGGAGAAAGGTACTACATAGCAAATTTCAACTTTTGGCACTCAGTGTCTATATCTTTGTAAAAGTCTTATATATATATTGAATGTACATTTTTATTCTCCAAACCTTATGTATTTGTGTCAGCTAGTTCTAGCATGATTTAAGACAGCCTTTACTGTACACATTTAACACAGGGATAGCTGTCAATACAATTCATATTAACTTCATATTTTAGATTGTTCAAGAAGCATTAGACAAGGCGCAAAAAGGACGGACTTGCATCATGATTGCTCATAGACTCTCAACAATACAAAATGCCGATACTATAGCAATAATACGTCATGGACACGTGACAGAGTTAGGATCACATTCTGAGCTAATGGCCCTTCAGGGATTCTATTATACTCTACATCAAGTGAGCAAAGGACGCAAGGGTGGCCCAGAAATAAGTGTTATCAACTAAAGCAGACTCTTGATTGGCTAATCACCTTGGGTTCACTACGTCATGTAAACAAAGAACGCATCACTGACACGAAATGATAACTGAATAACTGAAGCTGAACGTACTGTTACTGCATAATAGACTAATACTCAAGATACTCGACATCAACTAGAGTAATTAGTTAAGAATTATTTTGTAAAAAATTGAAATTAATTTTGTTTCTATATAAATGAGAAGAAATCATGTTTTTCTGATGAATTATTGCTTAAGCCAAACGTTTGATAATATTAAAACAATATAATATTGAAACACACACGCCTATTGACAATCAACTTATGAATACTAGTGATTTTCAGATTGTCTTAATTTGAAATTTTGTATAATTATTGTCCTTGTTAAACAAGTTTATTTAATTATTTCTTTATTTGCTAGCACAAAGTTTGGGCGTTGTGATACAAATAAGTTTGTGGATATAGAATATAAAGACTGATTATTGTATTTTTATACATAATACTGTTATACAGTTATTACTATTTATTTTACATACATATACATATGTACATATATATTACACATTGATATTACTGATGTAAATAGTACAATATTATTGTTATTATTACATTTGCATTATTTATTTGTGTCACATTTCGATACGACGAATATACTGAATATACGATGGAAAAATTACCTTTGCTATAGGACTATTTACTCAATAAATAATTAAATGTTTTATGATGTCTTAACCCTGTTTATATTTTTATTCTTTATGTTCCTAAAAATCATCTCCATACAACCATAACCAATTCCCCATACAATGTTGTAAAACCACTGAACTTCTTCAATTGTATTTATGATTCTGAGAATTTTCTTACAATCCATTACAATAGCTCAATACATTTTTTATCATATGTATCAATGGAAAGGGAGAACATCAATTTTAATATAATGTTGATTTCATGAAATCAAATTTAAATCCGAGTTTTTCCTGGCTCTTATTCACTGTTATAGTTTTATTTTCTTTCACAAATTTTATATCATAAATTTAATCACAAACAGAAAGATAGTACAATAGAACTTACTGACCAAAGGGTAAAAATGAAATTTTTATATTATTTCATTTCTATTGATACCTTAAACCATCTTGATGTATTGTATAAATATATGACATGCTATGATCATACTGTATACAGATATATAAGGGTTATGTACTGGGAGGTTTTGGATATGGGGTTTATCCAGAGGGAGATATGCATATGTACCTGAGGGACCATAGGGACCGAAGGTAGATGTGCAAATCTCACGAGGGATGAACCCAATATCCAAACCGACCGTACATAACTGCTTTATCCTATACCAAGTAGAGTTTTCAGGGGCATATGGCCACTTCAATAGTACAAGGTGTAAAACTGAACAAATCATTCATATGCAAAGTCATTTCCACTACTTACCGGAATCGGGAAGATATGCACCGAAGCGGGAAGATATGCACCGTAGCGGGAGATATGGCGGGAGAATGGAGGTTCTGGATATGGAAACCTCAAAATCAGGATACGGGATATATCTTACCAACTTATCTCCCTAAAACTCTACTTGGCATAGGATAAATCAAGTTATTAACCACAGTACAATATTAGAATGTACATGCATGTATACGAATGTTAAAAGAAATAGTATGTTATCATTCCCTGAACAATTTGTCTGTAATTGCATAAGAATGTAGAGTTTTAGAACAACAAAAAGAGTCATTTGGTAGCTTTTTTGTTAGGCCTCGGTTAGTGGGGAGGTAAAGCTTCGCGTTTATGAGAGAAGGTTTAAAATTATGAGTTATTTGTAATTAGGCCACTGGAAAAACATTTGAGAGGAGAAAAGTAATCCATTGGGATCATAGTATTTCAAGTTAACGTTCAAGTTCTCAAAAGGACGTGTAGATAACCGCCTTATTGTAGTTTTAATATGACTTCGTGTATTCTGTTCATATGGTTTGCTAGTCTGCTTTTTATAAAATATAGATATTCATCAAATTAAAAATAAAGAGTTTGATGAATTTGCTATGATGTTTTTGTGATTATTTTATTTCTTTGCTTTATTAGCGTTATATGATACTGTAGGTATCATTGAAAGGAGGTTAATTATTTTTTAATGTTAAAATAAACATAATTACAAGAAAAATGTGTTATATGGACGCCTTTGGGACAGGTGTTCATATTCAAGGTTTTCACATTGAGTGGTGGTCTGATATGGCGGTTTCACCCAAATGTTCCAGCTGACGTTACATTTTTTCTTGAATTGGGTACTTACTATGTCGCATTTGTATCAAAATTAGATAGATGTTAACTCTCATAATAATTTCAAAACAAGCGATGTGGAAATTGTTTCTTCATCGGCATGTTTATAGCTAGGTAGGGTAATTTTATCCTATTTGTTGTTTATGTCATACAAATTGCAATAAATGCATTCTTGCTACTTTTTGTTGCTAATGAACGCAAACGAGTCTATGATGCGCATAGCACAACCTTTATATGTACAACGATATGTGTACATATTAGCAATGTGTAAGCATATCGTTGTTTAGAAACCTATATTTTGATTGTAGGTCGGCCTAGATTCAACCTTGACAACTTTATCAATTGATTTTATCATTGTACTCGAATACGGAATAAAATATTTGTGTACTGTTTTCCTCTCACATGCCTGAATGTTACACATTTACCACCTTATTTTGGCATTTCTCGACATTTTATATGAACAGTTTTCTCCAAATTGTTTTATCTCGTTTGACATTATGCATAACAGTATGGTATTTTTCTTTAAGAATATTAAAGAAACATTCTTTGTTGTTTTTTTCTTAATGGTAGCCTATCGGCGACTGTTGTTTCCCACAGAAATCTAACATCAGGCTAAATATACCGGTTCTGTATAATACCAGGGACTTGTTTTTATATTCAGATTGTATTTAAAAACAGAAACAAAATGAACATTTTTATATTTGTAGTAGTATTTTGCACTTATTCTGGTGAGTAAAATGTGTCAAAAAGTAATTCGAATTCGTGTGCAAAGTGCTATATTTATATTGCATAATGTAAATAAATTGTGAGTTCTGGTTTAAACGTGCAAAAATGTAGTTCAAGTTCATGTGCAAAGCTTTATATTTTAATATTGCATATATTACAAGTTGATTGGTGAAACATCTATGAATTCTTATTTATTCAGGAAAGAAATATAGAGGATGTGCGGTAGAAAAAAGATCACAAAATCATGAATTCGTTAGCATCAAAAAGGCTTTAAGAAATAAGGTGGTAACGGTATTATAACATGTTAATTGCTGCTCAAGGGTTTTCTTGAGACAATATGTGAAAGCATAAATTGTGAATGCTACCTGAGACCCTACATTATTCGGTGTAATATTCAATTGTTTGTTTGTTTGATTTGTTAGCAAGTATATCTTATTTCCAGTTGCGGGGCAACCGTATGAACCATGCGCACGCGGTTTGGAGAGTTCAAGCGAGACTTCACCATGGTGCTATTGGTGGAGCTCGCTCGGTAGCTTTGGCGTTGTTAACTGGTTTGAAGCAAGACGAGATTGTCAGCATTTAAATGGGGAACTTGCGAGCATAGCCGACATCCCTGAATTGGTGAGTCATTTTAATTCACCTTGGTTTACAGGTTTCTGTCTTCGATTGTTCACTGTTCTATTGTCTCATCGTATGCATAGTTAAAAGTAATGTAAATAACTGTTTCGGGGTTTTATGATAGGACACCCTTCCAGCGAAAATGATGACGGTGCTTTTGAAAGTATAATTCTAATATCATGTACTAACTTTTGCCCATCTTTGTTGTACACACCTGTACAGAGGTATTACGGAAATCCACCTCCTAAATGATAGTTATATGTCTCGAACATCATGCGTTGAAACCCTATACATCTTAACTCCAGAATTATCTTATGGCACGACACGACGTTGGAGGAGGAAGAAGGAATAACAACTACTGGTTGGGCGGAACAGACGAGCCAGGCCGTAATGGAACATGGGTATGGTCAGATGGTACACCATGGGATCCGAATGTAGCGTGAGTACTGTGATGAAAAGTAAGCTTGATGTTGTACTTGTTGATTGGGTCAACCTGTATCCATATGGGCCAGCCCCTAATTCTATTTAGTCTCCATATTGTAATGTGATAAAATCCATGGGAATTTACAGCGCCAACGGTTGGGGCCTTGGGAGACCAAGAGGTGACCCACATCACTGCAATCTCTGGTGGGGCGGAGCTTTCAATACAGGCTCTTGGAATGACCGAGACTGCGATAATGTAAATCTACTATTTCTCTGCAAATTCCGAAAGGGTAATCTTTTTTTATAATCCTATATACAAAACCCAAGTCTTGAACTTAAGCGTAGCCCTATAAAATTGCGCAACAAGTTACGTGATTTCTTAGGAAGCGTCTCCATGGTCAATTGGAGTTACAAAATCCAGTCGTATGTGTAGCTCTAAGAGCTGTAGTTAAGATATATAACGATACATTTTTCATTATTTTAACAACAATTTCTTCGTCATAACTGAGCAAGTGTGTCAAGTAATGAATGTACTATACGAGGGTTGT